TTATGAGGCAAGGGTAAAGAGAGACACAGAAATGATGGCAATGTTTCAGCAGCAGCAAGGGCAAATGCAACATCAGAACCAGCTGCTGCTTGATGTTGTTAATAAATTGCTGGAAAAATCTTAATATGTTAACAGTCATAACAGCAAATACAAAAATGATTCAATTAAGGTCCCCTTTCTACTATCAACTTTTGAATAAGCCTCTTGTTATAAATTGTTGAATTTTACAAAAACAGATTCCAACTTTTTCAGAAACACATTAGAGCATATATAGTTAAATAACTGTTTACTGTTCTGTCATAGAGTGCCAGCTGTACACTCTTTGATTTATAGATTCTAAGTTGCAATTTAAGTGCATCATGCTCTAGGCTTTATATTAGGCAATGGTCCTTCCCATAAAAATAACATTCAAATTTGTCGTTTTAAGTAATAAAATTTTCTCCACTCCTTTTCTATTTTGTTTTTTTTAATTCCTAAGCAAAAATTGTGATCCCAATGTGATAAAGTTATAGAGGCTTTGTTGTTAGCCACTAAACAGTTCCAGCATCTTTATATTTATTAATACCACAACAGTTATGCAATTGGTTACATCTGTTCTTTTTAACTATAGTTTTACAGTTGATCATATTTAACTGTAAACTGTAGTTAAGTTTGTTTTTAAAATGGTTTCAAATTATCTGTATTTCCTCTTCATTAGCTTCGCAATGATTACATTTTTTGTTGTAGTTATTCCATTTTGCTTTATTAATTGAAGTAACACTCTTTAGTGAACACTTAATTGATTTTTTTTATTAAATGCTGCTGCACATAGACATTTTACTGCATTTTACTGCATCTATTTTCGAAAATGGCACACATCTTTTCCAGTTGAGAAATAATTTTTACCATATTAATGATCCAGCTATTGATGATTAGATTATAAACAATATTGATTTAGCTATTATTTCAAACACTGTTTATTTCTCAATGTGAGAGGATTTCATCAAAAAGCTATATATACTGATTTATTTTGGAAACGGGATCCTGGTTGACCTGCATGTTGGCCTGACGGTGGCATTTGTTTTTTTAACATAAGTATAATTTACACAGGTGTAGATTATTTTTCTCTCTAAGCTTAATTTTGAGCAGCTATCACCAAGGGGGCATTTATAAACCGATGTGGCTAATAAACAGAACATCAAACTATTATAGAGAAGGTTTGTTGAATTCTAATGCAACATGTGTGGCAATATTGAGTGTCGTGTTACTGGGATGCCATAATAACTCTGGCAATGTGGTAATTCTTAAAAAAACTGTTTATTGTGCCTTTCTGGTTTTCAAGTCTGTGGAATCAAGTATATCTACAAGAAATACTCATTTAGTGTTGGGGGCTAAAAAGAATTTTGCAGTGCTGTTGCCATACAAGCAGGTTAAAGCATTTCTTAACAATGCACTGACAGCATAAAATTTCCCAACAGAACTGAGGCCAATCTTGAGATTTTTCTTGAAATCCACAAACTTGAAGGAGTTGATGATGTCTCCAAACACCCACTCAACATTAATTCTGACATGACTCATTGATTGATTAAAAGCAAGCTCGTCAGGTGTGAGAGCTGCTCTTCTTGCAAACGAGCGCTGGAGGTGAACACGATGCGGGTATGCAGGGTCACCATAGATGCAAAGAGTTGCACCATCTGGGGAAAACGAGTGCTGTTCTAATTGCTCCAGTAGACCAGACATTACAAGCAGTCTGCTGTCATGTCTTCTACCTTCAACGGGCCCAAAAAGGTTTGCAATCATACCATTTGGAGCAACAACTGACTGAAACTTGAGTGCATGAACCCTTTTGTGCCCATTGTAGACAGCTCTTTGATTCCTGGTTGGCCTGCATATAGGCCTGACAGTGCCATCAACAAATCCCCAGCAGTTGTCCAATGCAGCACCTTTGTTGTGTATTGCATCAGCAAATGACTGGAGATTCTCTCTTGAGAGCCATGGCTGGTTCAGGTCGTTCAGTAGATTAAAAAACCTGTCATATATATCCTCAACCACCAAGTTGAAGATCATGCATAGTTGCGGAACAGGCCTTCCGAATCTTGGGACTAAATCCGCATACCGGCAGCGATACGTGAAACGCTTCAAGCAGACACAAAGCGCTTCAACGGGGCCAACAATGACACCATTGTAGCATCGATAAACTTCTGGCAGTTGAAAGGGCTTGCACAAGATTGTATATGTCCTGCTTTTTGAAACGCATTTCAACAGAGCACTCCTCTTCGGCCATATCTTCCAAGCTAAAACGTTCATATTTAAAATATGGAAGCTCTAAATGAAGATTAACGTTGTTTGCGTGACCACGATGTAATAAAAGATAGTCCTCGACATCTTCCATATTTTCCTCGAGCACGATGAATAAATTGTTCGCCATTTTTGCAGCTTCGAGTAAACTGAATTTGGCGCCAAACTGCAATGCGTTGTGACAGGCACGTTGTGAATCGTAACAGGAAAAAGGTCAACGCATCGGGATGACTAGATTCTAGACCTTTTCAGCTCGTCTCGATCTGTTTCGTAAACTCTCTATTAATTGACTAAAGGAACTTCAGGTGTAGGGCGTTTGTTTTCAATTGTATGTTAACTACACCTTTGCCACCTTTATCTGCAGGTTGAAACATTGTCTTTCTACTGACTAGCTCATTTTTGCCAGCCCAGATAAATTAAAAAATAGCTTGATTAACTTGTTTTTCTATTGCGGAAGGGAGATGGTAGATTGTTTCTACAAAGAGGAGGCTAGAAAAAGCAATTGTATTGACAATAAGGGTTTTTCCTTTAAACGAAAGTCAAATTTTCAACATGTTTTATCCAACAGCTTTCAGGGGCTGTTTGAGTGCCAAATTTGAGACCCAGTATTTCGAGGGCACTGTCTGTCCATTTTAGTTGGGAAGACGGAGAGGCGGAAATATATGGGGCTTGTTCAACCACTTTCCGCAGGACTTGCCAATATCATAATTCACCTAATTTGTACACTTGGATAGTCGCTATGGTTTCTTTAACAGAAAAGTTATTTCTCAGAAATAAGGTGGTATCATCTGCATACTGAGAAATTTAAACTTTCTTTTGTGAGCCTGGAAGACAGAGACCATCAATTTTCAGTTGCCCAGAGTCTCCGCTACTATGCAATATTATAGCAGGGACAATGGGCAGCTTTGTCTTACCTCACGTTTAAGGGATACTTTCGTAGAAAGGTAGCAGTAGTTGCTAATTTGGCATAAAACACATGAATTTTGGGCCGAAATTCATTTTTTCCAAGACTTTTAGAAGAAAGTCCCAGTCTACACGGTCAAAGGCCTTCTCTTGGTCAACCTTAGTGGCTGTTCAATAATTACATCTCGCTAAATATGGGTTTTTAGAACCACCCAACCCCCTCTCGTCATGCTCCATCAAGGTTTCATGTGAGATCCCCTTGCATGACGTCACTCTAGGCACAGACAACCTCCCCCTCTGCTCTTAACAAAATTCCAGTACATATGTAAATCTAAAAAATTAATGCATGAGTAATGCATTTTTTGGATATATAACAAATTAGCAAAATGTAAGTATCAAGTCAATCGCTTCTTCGGTTTAGATAAAAGTTGATCAATCACTTGTCCAGATTGGTTCTATATCATTAAGGACAGGGGTTCCTTTTTTGGGGACAACCTCTGGAATATCTGATTCCTTGTCAAAATCAACATCACTAATTGCGTGCCATTCAAGCTCTTGGCAATCGGAAAAATTATCCAGAGATCACCATTCTGTAGATGTCAAGGCAATGCTTGGTGCAAAAATTGAGAGAATGAGGAGGGTTAACTGCAAGAAAGACGTAAACATTGTGATTGTTTTCGCAGGCACCTGCAATATACGAAAGCAAACAATTCAAGAAAACCTTGCAGAGGAAATTGTATTAGCCCTTAAAGATGTGAAATCAAAGCTGCCCAAGGCACAGATCGCATTCTCAAGTATTCTCAAAAGGAAGGATGATCTAGACCTTAATGCCAAAGAGATCAAAACTAATCAACTACTAAGAGAAAAACTTCTTAGCGGACTGGATTTCATTAACAATGACAATATTAGGTATGGAAATATTTCATTTGATGGTCTACATGTAAACGAGGGGGTGTTAGAATGCTAGCATCAAATTATAGTAAATATATAAGATATTGCTAGGGACTACAGGGTAATGCTAATTACTTCATTGATATAACAAAAACACACATGAAAGGAATAAAGATATCTAAGCTGAAGGTGTAGTATCACTTAGAAAACATAAGGTAGAAGTAGCTAAATAACTGCACGACTATCAATTAGATATCCTTGGCCTCAATGAACCCAGATTGTCAAAAGACACATGTGACAATGGGATTTCAATAGAGGGATATGATATCTATAGGCATGATAGGGACAGCTCAGGCGGTGGTGTAGCTGTTTATGTAAAAGATACCCTTGCCCATCAAGAGCAGAGCAGACAAGAGATGACATAAAAGACCCAAAACTAGAAATTATAGGTATTGAAATTGTCTCCAAACATGCTAAGAGTTACATCATGCTATGTTGGTATCGTCCGCCTACTGATAATACTGACATTACTACCTTTCAAGCTTTAACCAGAATAATAAAAAAGCTAGATGCAGAAGGCAAACAAATTATTCTCACTGGCGATACCAACTGTGATTATCAAAATCCAAAGACTGTAACACAAGAAAGCTGAAACTTCTTTACTCAGAATTTCAGTTCGAACAGCTGATCACAGATTTTACAAGGGTAGCTACTATAACAAGCTCCAATGGAAAAGAAATACAACCAAAACGTTAATTGATCACTTCTCAACGAACATACCTGATTTTATTTCCTGCTCTGGCGTAATAAAATTTGGCATCACAGACCTTTACATGGTCTTTGGCATCAGAAAAGTTAATGCCAATCTCTAGCTAATAAGAAAACAAATTAAGACTGAATCTCGCAACATGAAAAACTATAACAGGGAAGCCTTTCTTCTCGAAGTATTGTATCGATTGGGAAATGGCTATATACAACGTCTGTGATAACCCTAATATCATGGCAAACAAATTTTGCGAACCTTTCCTCTCCATCGTAGATATGCAAACACCTCTAAAAATACGAAAAAATACATTGAGACATGCACCCTCACCCTTGATAACTCCCGTATCAGAAATATGATACATGAGAGAGACATAACTAAGAAACGTGCCGAAAAAGATCGATCTGGCCTCAGTATAAATACTTAAGAAACAGGGTGACCAGTGAACTCCAAAGAGCTGTCAAAAACAGAGTTTTTTTATTGTGGTGCACAGAGGTAGAACGAAATTCCATTACAGATAAGAATAAGCTCCCCAATTACCACGTTCAAAAAGAAATTAAAGAAATTCCTGCAAAATTAGCATCCTTTCCCGAAGTACGATCCCTAGGAAGACCAGCATTATATATAAATTAATCTTTACTTTTTCTTTTTTAACTTAGTAGCTGATAGGGTTTCTGTGTATAAATATGAACAAATGAATGAAAATGAAATGACAGGAAGTGGCAAGAATCAATCTTTCATTATTTTTAAGTAGGATGATTGAAACGACGAGCAACATGCCTCATCGGTGCATTTCACGATTTGTAAAAAATATTACGATTCCCTGACATGTTTTGCTTTCCATTCCTTTGACTTTGTGACTGTAATTTCCGACGGTTCCTCATTTATAAATTCAGCATCAACTGGATGACCATCAATCACCAATTTTGACCACAATTCGGCCAGAATTTCAGCTGCATATTCAAAGTTTCTAAGTTCCAATTCTTCGTCAATAGTTTTGTTGTTATTATCTTAATGGGTACCAAAATTGTGATGGGAGAGGATAACACCACTGAATTCCTTGCTGAGGTTAGACATTTGTCTCTCAACTCGGTTAAAGGCACTCCTTCCAGGTGCATTGGTGGCAAGGAAGTAAGCAATAAGGTCATGCTCCCAAATATACTCAACATCCGGACCTCTGTCAACTGTAAAAATCATCACTTTACTTTCTTGCGACTGTCAGTTCTGGAAACTTTCGGTGAATTCAGGTAAAGATCGTGCCCTGTTCATGTCACGAAGGTGATTGAGGGCAGAAGAACCGGAATGCTTTGTACTTCTAATGGCGATGTACTAAGGACCAGAATAAGTAACACCGTCATTAATGAGATCCTTACTCATAATGACTTTCATATCTCCAATAACTGAAGGAATCATTGACATTTCATATCATTCGATGTTTGCCAACATCAGGGAAAAGCGAATCAAGCGAAGAATGTATTCAAAAGGTAAGGGAGGTTGAGATTGGGGTCGACGTACCACAACGTGCTTGATTCTGCTCACAGAATTGGGAAATTGGTCACAATTGAAGGTAAGCGCACAAAGCAGATGATTGTGCGACTAGCCACATGGCAACATAGAACCGCAATTTATAAGGCACGTAAGAAGACCATAAGGTATAGCACCAAGTTAGACCTGACAAGGAGAAGAAGGGAAATCATTAAAAGGGCAAATGAAATTCTGAATAACGATCATGAATCATTTGCATTTGCAGACATTAATTGCAATTTGTGCTGGTTTAAGAGGGGAGAAATTGGTATATTTTAATTATGTGGAAGATCTTGAGAGGCTGAGAAACAATGATTTTAGATAGTTTAAACTCGTTTCTTTAAACATGGCTGTCCTTTATCGTTGTTTTTTTTAATTGTTTTTCGAAACCGTAATCTTCAAGGGGGCTTAGAAAATTGTATATTAATGTATTTGCTGCAATTGCTCCATTAAGCTGCCACCTTCCGTTTTATACCTTATTTTGAATCATGATTAAAGATGCCTAGAGACATTTCGATTACAAATTACGAATTTATGCAGTAACATATCTATTTTCAACAGCACGCCCCTTTTTATTAAAACGCGAAGATTCAATCTAAATGACTAAGCCGCTCAGCTTGACTGCTAGGATTAAATATCCAATTGCTAAACCGAAATTGTGCTTCACTCCCACCTTAGTGACCACCTTTTCACGTTTAATTACTTTTTACTTTTACATACTATATGCTTGAGGTAGAGAACCATGAAGAGCCCTCATATATCGCCGGACTGCCAAATTTTCAGTATTCTTTGAACTTAACTGGAGTACCATACTTGAGTGACTATGACGTTGATGAGCATCTGCCTCAAACTATTGACTCACGCTATTTTACTGTAGCTCAACTTAGTTCCCTTAGATATGATTTTCGTGATCTTTCCATTTTTCATACAAATATAAGGAGTCTTTCTTTTCACCATGATGAACTTATTAATCTATGTGCTTAGGCTAAAATTAATTTTGATATTATAGGAGTTTCTGAGACATGGAATCAAACTCAAAATGAAATTTTAACAAATGTCAGCATGGAAGGATATAATCATTACGACAATAAATCGTCAAGCCAAAATGGAGGTATATGACTTTATGTCAAGAAGTATTTGAATTCTAAACTATGCAATAACCTCAGCTTAAACTGTGATGAATTTGAAGCAGTTTGGGTCGAAATAGATAATAAACTCGGAAATTTTTTTTTATTTTGCTGCATCTATAGACATCTTGGTTCTGACTTTTAACAATTTACCGAATATCTTAAAGGTACTCTTCCAAAACTAATCAATAAAAAGGTATTTATGATGGGCGATTTCAATATAAACCTTTTAAATTTCGATTCTCACGCGCCTGCCAATGATTTTGTCAATACTTTCTTTTTGTACAACTTCTTGCCTTGTATAAATCACCCAACAAGATTTTCCTATAACTCGTCGACAATAATTGATAATCACAAACTTGATGAATTTGGAAATTAAATATAGAAATATTCTCACCCAAATTTCCGACCATTTCCCGCAATTTCTAATTCTTAAAAACGCTAATATGGAATACAACAGATCAGTGACCTATCAACATGACTACTCATTATTTGACAAGAGGTCTTTTATTTCTGACTTAATAAATTAGAATTGAGCTATATTAATAATGATACCGATATTAATGGAAACTATAACAAATTCTCTCAAGACATAAATATGCTTGTTGAAAAACATTTACCAGTTAAAAAGTGCACAAAAAAGAATCAAAGATGAAAGCAAAACCTTGGATCAACAGCAAAATACAAAAAATGATGTGATCACATGTTTAGAAAAATGAAAAGAAATAGATCGGATCTTCAACTCTACAGAAAATTCAGAAATCGGGTAACAAATGAGATAAAGAAAAGCAAGCTAAACTATTTCCATGACTATTTCTCTACGAATTATTAAAATATGAAAAACTGCGGGTAAGCATAAAATCAATTATCTCTAACAAAGGCTCTGTCCCTGCAAGTATTTGGAAAATCAAGGATAAAGAAGAAATAATTTCAGACACAACTAAAATTTCTAATACCTTTAACAAGTACTTTGTCAATGTTGCTGAGAATATTACCAAAACTTTGCCAAAAATATATGAGTCACCTATTGATTATTTTGATAATAAAAACTTAAATTCAATCTTGCTCTCTCCAGTCGACCATATTGAAGTTGAGAATGAAATTTCTAGATTGGACTCATCAAAGTCTTCTGGGCCCCACAGTATCCCGATCAATCTATTGAAAATTCTAGGATCCTATATTTCGAATTCCTTAGACACACTCATCAATCAGTCGTTTTTCAACAGAATTTCTTCCAAATAAATTAAAAGTAGCCAAAGTAATTCCTGTCTTTAAAAACGGGGACACCAAAACTAAGTCAAACTATAGGCCTATATCGCTGTTGCCAGCAAATTATATGAAAAATTAATGTACAGGCGACTCTATTTGTTTATTACTCATAACAAAGTAATCTACTCCTTACAATTTGGTTTTCAGGAAAATCATTCAATTGACCATGCTTTTATTAGTATAAATGAAGCAATAAGAAATACTCTTGACATTAGGAAATATGGATGTGGAATATTTATCGACCTGCAAAAAGCCTTTGATACTGTTAACCATGATATTTTGATTAACAAACTTGAACATTATGGTATCAGTGGAGAGGCCCTGTCTTGGTTTCGGTCCTACTATTCAGAAAGACATCAATTTGATCAGTCAATGGCGTAAATTCTGAATTACTAAAAATCACATGCGGTGTGCCACAGGGATCTGTACTAGGACCGTTGTTTCTTTTAATTTTTATCAATGACTTACGAAATGTCTCAAGAAAAACTGGACAGTTGTCCACTTGAGCAGTTGTAAATAGTCCTTTTCTCAAACTAGGTCGGCAAACGCCGTTTTTGTGGTAAGTGTCACAAATCTTGTTACCGACGTCAGTTGAGATACTTAAAACTCGATCATATGATATTGACAGTCCAGACTCATGAAGTATTTCAATTAGTTCACCTTTTTTGAGTTTGTGCGGGCATTTTCAATCCCAAATATATAGGGAATGGTGTTTCTTGTGCTCTTGATTGGCGTCGATATTCTGCTTTGCTACTTCGCATCCGTTTTGTGCTGTTGTACTTTATCAATTGTGCTAAATTAAGTGCAACTGAATGTTCTTAGTCATTTTCTGAAGTCCTACCTGTCACCTTTGGGCCTTCCATAAGCATTTCTAGCAAAAGAACTAATAATTTTGGCACAGTCTCTACTTCTGCCATTCCTTGAAATGTCCCATCGAAAGGGGGAGTTTTGGCAAAAACCTTTTTGCAAATCTTCATCGTCTTCATCGTCACGAGAACAGGCTTCAGAAATAGCATCACCTATCTTGTCAGTTGGACCCAAAATTATCTTGCTTCCATTGTTGCTTGTAGAGGCTCCAAGATATGGCAAGTGTTTTAAAAGACTTGTAGAATGTCCTCTGATGTTAGGTTCCTCCACATGAGCAGTGTATATTTTGACTAGATCTGACAATACGAAGAATGAGGTTATTCCTTCATCAACCATGCATCGATTTCCAATAATTGCCACAAGCTCGGATAGTGCTATAGATTCTGGTGATGTATCTACTGTACCATCTTGATCGCTCCAAGACACATTGCTTCTTGCAGCTCTTTCTCTGTTGTACAGATTAGCAAGGCATTGTGAATGATTTTTTGCTTCCATTGCAATCATATCTCCCGCACTAAATTTTGCGGAAGCTCTTTATCATTTAAAAACAAAGCTACATCTCTCACACGCCTGTCCACTTGAAATGTAGAGACTTGGTGCAACGTCTTCCCATCAAACCTATTACAAAAAAAGCAAATATAAGGTTGTATTTGACCTTTGTGCACTTCAACAGATGACCTTTCTCCTGTATATCATTCTGAGATTTGTTGGCATCTTTGCTTTTCCTTTTCTTGCTCTTAAGGCGCTCCAGTTTCATTGAATTATATTTGTTTCTACATGATTTATGCCACTTTTCATTTTGACGTTCAAATATCGCTTGTATGCCATCACCTTCATCAAATTCTTCAATTCTTACAGATCTTGGCAGCCCACCTAGCTCATAGAACTGGAACAGATCCTCACATATGCTTTGATATCCGGCTCCACTGTCTGACTTCTTTGGATTATTTCTGGGATTGGACAAAGACTCTGCAGAATCCTTCTAACAAATTATGCATGCACTCCAAGTAAATTGTGCTCTTTCTACCTAATCTTTTTTCCAATTAAGGTTTCTAACGGTGGTGAAAGTTTTCTTACTCATATTTCAAAGCTAAAATCATCCTGACAAGAACTGAAAGAAAGCATGATTAATTTAGGCTTAAATCCAGAACGAGGCTGCTCTCCTAACTTAATTTGGACTTTATGCTCTTACACTACTGAAGCATTTATTGGATGAATTTAAGATTTTTTCTACTTACATCTATTTCATAGTATTGAATTGTCTGTATTCACCTTTTTTCTAATATCTTTTTTGTACAATCAATAAAAGCGGTATACGTAAAAAGGAACTGAGGACTAGTACTCCTATATGAAAATAGCATTGGGGCGGTGCTTCAGAATAAGTACACTTGGATCTCATTCACTAAATAATATTGTGCCTCTCTTTACCATGTCTCAAGTTAAAGACCCTGTGCACCCCATGACCCTTTGCGGACTCGCAGTAAAGTTTGAGATTTTCATACTGTACGAAAATGATTTCGAGAGGCTAAGGCCTAGGCATTAATTCACATTGTAATAATGGACACGCAAGGAAAGAAAGCGAAGAAGCGCCCAAAGAGAAAGGAGCCTCTTAAGATGGTATATTTCTTAGAATCAACTTTCGATATCTGGAATAAGGCGAAGAAAAATTATTCACGTCCTGAGCACACTTTGAGCAGTGACAAATTTGCGAAGTTCTTGCTGAGATGCTTCAGTGAGGGTAGTGAGATGGGGTTAGACTCTAGTTTTTGGGCGGAAAGAATTGATAAGGAGCACTGCCATGGCAAAACGGAGAAAGTAAAGTCAGTTTGGTCACCTTCAGAACCCCAATACACAGCACAATTATGCCATCAAGGCAGTGGGTAAGTTTGAATTTTTTTCCTTACCAGCGACAGCACGATGCATTTTCCAATAACATACTATTACTTTGTATTGTTGCATAATGCGTTTTTATGAGACATTTTGACGGTGAAAACAGGCCTCAAGCCAAAGGGTTTGCAAGAGTATCCCAGACTTTTGAGGTTCCAATTGCAAACGCTTTAATCAGACGCTTCAAAAGTGAGCTGGCAAAAGATTTCAACACAAATATTCACAGCATTTGAATCCCAATAGTAGCAATAGTTAGTTGTGTATAGTGTAAAAGCATTACAGTTTTGGATTTTTTATACAATATGATATGGCCCCTTAATGTTGATAAACGAGGCTTAATTTTGTAGCATTTTATATTGCTCATCATCTGCAAATAGGTATATTACAAATTGGTTTTAAGGAGTGAGGGTTTCAAACTCTTTCAGGAGCAGTGCAAACAAATACAACGAGGGTACAATCAGTAAAAGGGACACTTCATTTGAGAGCTTTGATGTTCTTGGTGACTGCCAAACTATGATATCTATTAATTTCCTTCTTTTTTGTTTCAGTATACCGTGCATTGAAAATTTTCATGTCATCAAAAATTTTTGTAGTTATAGGCTTTAGAGAAAACTTTCGTTGAAAAAATGCATATTTCAAAATGAGAGGATGGCTCATGTCTGACAGGATCACAAGTTCTTGTGAATGTGGAAGTGATAACTTTCATTCGTGTTTTTGGTTGTTGAGATTCTTTTTGAAAAAGGACCCTTATGTGCCAATGATAATCATATTCAAGTTATATGAACCCATTTTAATGGACAAATTTTCATTTGGAACTTAAAACCTTAATCAATTCAATTCCAGTTTATTACTTATGAAAAAACTTGACGAGAAATAGTCACACACTACTCCTCAAAAGCAACATAAGCTAAAACAATGTAGTCACCATCCTGGGGATTCTTCTATTCTGTGCTATTTCACAAGTCAACGCATTTCTTTGTCAAAAGTAATAGACAAAGACAAACTACACAATAGAGCTCCTAATCTCCTGTTGAATTTAATATGTAAATGGCGCATGGATGATGTTTCAGGAAGATTTGGAAACAGGCAATCTCATTGGCTAATTGTCAACACTGCTGCCTTTTATTGTTTTTGAGACAGCAACTCAAACTTAAGGGCAACAGCTGCCCTTCTGCAAATTCTAAATCCCAACTGCAAATTATCTTGCTAATGTGTAAACTTAAGCTCTAATGCTAGCTGTTTTGTCTCCTAAATTGTCTCACCCATAAATTGTGCTGAAAATGCCCCCAATCACTCTTTATGGGATGTCACAATATGTAGTTCATGGTTCAATTTACCTTGCTGAATGATTTGAGTTTTTTTAGTAAAATTGATGTTTTTTTATTAAAATTGATTAAAATTATTAAAAAGATTATTAAGATTGATGTTAGGATTTACAATTTTCTGCATTAGCAAAAACTGCTGCAAGTCTGAATTTTTTGTCTTTTGACTCTATTTTAGAATCAACGCCATCAATACAAAAAAACGAAGGAGGCAACAACTGAACTTCAGTGCTATTGGACTAGAGAATGAATTTTTCCCTCATGAGGTCACACAATCTGCTGCAGAAAAAACTATGTTGGGGGGTACTTTTTCAAGACTGAAAAGCCTCAATGAAAACCATTGATGGGGATCCATTTAGTGATTCAGACTCAAACACAGATGATGAAGATTCATATAGTAGCTCCAGTGCAAGCTTAGATTCCAGTGATAATGGAAGCAGTGACTCAAGTACAGATTCAAGTACAGATGAATGGTGAATAAGATGACAGTTCTTTTTAACTTTTCTGGATGAGTTACATTTCAAACCTATAGTAGCAAGTATTCTTTCATTTTTCAAATTTTAATGGATTGTTTCACTTTCCATATATAAAACTAACTTTTTAAGGAATTAATACCACATTTGAAATTGAGACTAAATGTTATTCTGAAATAAATATGCAACAGGTTTTGTGCATGTTAACTCCACAAATTTCTTATCAGCGAAGAATTCTTTTTCAGCCAAGATTAATGATTTAATGAAAATCCTTTTGAAATGATCCTTACAGTAGGCAAAAAATGCTGATTACAAAATGATACTTGTTGTGTTGTGTAAAGCAAATTGTTATTGCTAATTTGTTTCTTTTAGTGCCACCTTGACATCAGCAAAGGAAACATCAATATTCATTGCCCAATTTAGTAGTGAAGATGATGAAGGACTGGACAAAGAAGAGGTAGATGAAATCCATCACACTGCATCATCCTAGAAATTTAGACAGTGGAGATCAGAGTCTGTTAGGCCCAGTTTAGACAACGCATTTGTGTCGCAATTATGTCGAGTCAAATTTAATAAATCAGTTAAATTCATGATAAATACGACGTCTAAATTTAATTTAATCACGAAAAATTTAAGCGTCTTGTAGCCGAATGTAAAAAAGCTGCACTGGTGATGAAAACCTCTTCAGAAATAAAGAGGTTTCAGGACAATAAGGGCTATGGAAAATGGTTTAACTGCCTCCTGCCTTTGATCCAAACACGAGCTTCGTGTCAGCCAGAGCAGGCTATGGACCCCACATCGGTGCTAAAACGAAATGAAAAACGCCATATTCATGAAATCAGTGAATCAAGCTCTCCAGGCTCCAGTGAAGGAAACACAGACTCAAATGTAAGACGAGTGTAAGTCAAAGGGTGTAAATGAAACAGATTTGTTTGTGCCTATCAATGGAGGGAAACGAAGGAAAGCCAAAATGACACCAATGATGGATTCTTTGAAAGAGGTATTAGGCCAAGTAACAGAAGCCATGAAGGTTGACCCAACTGATAGGTTGTTGAGATATTTTGAAGAGGAAAACCACCGTGCTAGACAGCATGAAATTAGGCTTTTTTCCATGTTACTTGGTGGACAACCCAATCAACAAGCTGGTCCAAGTCATTACCAAACAAGGGAGCAAGGACACAGTAATTTTTCTCATTTTCCATTATGGAATTTTGTTCCCCAAGAACAAGACCAAGAAAAAGGCCAAACTTATGAACAATTATTTTAATAACAACTTTTACTTATTACATTACTTATTAATTAATTACTCTTTCCAGTTTTTTTGTCTTTAAAAGCAACTGATAAATAATTTCTTTTCTTAATGTAAAATGAATAAAAAAAATTAAAAAGTGCTTTCAAGTGCAAAAGAGAATTTGAAAAATTTTGTCAACTAGCATGAACATACAACATTGAAGTTAAAAAATCTTAGTTGCTTAATCTTGTAGTTTTTTCAAAAGTTTTATCCTTCCTTCTGAAATATTTATGAATTGTATATTCATCTGATACCTGTTTTTTTATTGAAGAATTTGTCTTTTAATGCATCACGAACTCTTTCTGCCCCTTTATTTGTGTCACAAAGTCGCTGACATTCATTCATGTGCAACGTATCCCTTACCAAATTACTTGGCCTTCTCTGATTTGTTTTGTGGTCACATGTCAGATTCCAAATGCGCAAATTTATATCTCCTTTTCTTATACAAATGTTGTGGAGCACTACACAAGCAAGAGCCTTGGCTTTCATTGTATCTGTTGGGCTTTCACATTTCTTGTACAATAGACCCCTTGCTAATGTTTACATTTGAAAGCGAGGCAAAACATGCGCGCGCATGCTGTGAGGCAAAACACCTGATGTTGTTTGTTTGAGGAAAGGAAACCATCGCTACGTATCGCAGTTGATCTGATTTCGTTTTGTGTTCTATAAAGTTTTATTCAAAAATGGTTAGAAGTTGCTGTGCTGTGGGATGTGCTAACCGTCAAGAGGGTGAAAAGAAGAATTTAACCTTTTATCGCATTCCAAAAGGGCGAACACCGATCGAAAAACGACGGCGACAAGATTGGTTGAGAGCGATTAGGAGGGATGACTGGAGGACTTGGAGTGATGAAAAGATTTCGAAAGCGTTTATCTGTGCGTAACATTTTATTTCAGGTGAGTTTCTGAATTTTTGGCGTTTTCGATCATCTTTTTATGCATAAATTCTGTAAAATAGCTGCTTCGTCGTTGTGAGAACAAACAGTTCATTTGTTCTACATATTTTCATACATAAAGATCAATAAATAATACAAAGTCATTTGGAAGTGATTCTCTTTATGGAAGGAAAAACTTCTACTGGCACTGCAGTGACCATACCAATAGTTAGCACACATATGTTTGGTATTTTTTAAACCTTTTTTCAAATGGCATAAATCTTATTTTGGACTTTCAGGGAAAAGGAGTGACAACCCTGATGACCCAAACTGGATTCCAACAATTTTACAGCATTCTACTGCCAAAGAGATTGCTAGAGTAGAAAATAAAATTGAAAAGAAAGCCAGGTATGAGGCGCTAAGGAAAAAGAGAGTAGGTGCTCAGGCTCAATGGATGGTCACAAATAAAACCAACACAGAGGCCACACATTCTTCAAGTCCTTAAAGAGATCACAGTCCTTAAAGATAAAATATCTTTGCTAGGTAAGGAGTTGAGGGCCAAGAATGCTGAGCTTTATAAACTAATTGAGGAAAACCGAAAGCTTAAAATGAGAAAATTTTCATTTGAGTCTCTCAAGGGATCAAAGGAAAAACTTAATTTTTATACAGGTATCCCAGCACTATCTCTTTTTCTTTGGATTCTGGACGTTATTAAAGGAAAAATCAAAAGATGTAGTGCAAATTTGCCCGTAGAGGATCACCTTTTGATAGTTTTAATGAAGTTGAGGTTGGGTTTGCTTAACAAGGACCTAGCATACAGATGAAGAAACTGTTATTTCAAAAATTTATCGTGTTTGGCTGCCAGGATTATCAAAATGCCTCAAGAATTTGATTGTGTGGCCAAGCAAAATGGAAATCATGCAGAATTTACCCAATTCCTTTAGAAGGAAATATCGTGACTGCATTTGCATTATTGATTGCAGTGAGGTATTTATTGAAAGGCCAAAGAATCTGACTGCTAGAGCCCAGACTTGGTCAAATTACAAAAACAACAATACAATTAAATACCTAATTGGAATCAGTCCTGCTGGTGCAGTCACATTTCTTTCTGAAGGATGGGGGGAAAGAGTTTCTGACAAACAAATAACCCTAGACAGTGGATTTTTAAGTAAAGTTCACAGTGGTGACTGCATTTTGGCTGACAGAGGGTTCTTGATAGAAGATGATTTGCATAAAAAAGGAGCATACCTCAAAATTCCAAAATTCACAAAAGGAAAAAAACAGCTACCAGCAACAGATGTTCAGACATGCCGCCAGTTGTCAAATGTCAGGATTCATGTTGAGCGAGTAATTGGGCAGTTAAAGAAATTCAGAATCCTACAGAGTACCATTCCTATATCCCAGGTGGACCTATTAAATGACGTTATGGTAGTTGTAGCAGCAATAGTAAATTTAAATAAAAGTGTTGTCAAGATGTATTAAGTAATGTCAGCACATGTTTTTTCCAAGATATGATCTAGAAAAATTCGGCAAGGATTAACTCACAGTTTCTTTATCAGGGATGCGATCAGTAGGAAGTTTTACCCAGTAGGAAATTGAAAACCAATAAAATAAGATTTAAACTTTCATTTAAACTCGACTAAGATACACTTCTCTTGCTATCTGCTAGGTTTTGTATGGTATAAAAAAATTTGACAGTGATTTTATCCAGGTTACGCATTTTGTAAGATGCTTACATGATTTGATCAATCAAAATCAGTTAAAAATTTGAAACTTAAAAACCTTCACAATTAACTTGAGCATAATCATGATTGAAGCAAAAAGAAATTTGTTAAAAACATATAGACCTCAAACCTGCTATAAATCATCAATTCTAACATTGACTTAACAAGTAAGCTTAAGGATTAGGATTCTACAAAAGAAAATTAGAAATTGAAAATCTGACTCTGAAAATAAATGCAAAATATTTTCACTCAAGCTTTATTTGATACTATAAGTAAGTTTTTAACAATGAAGATATCAGCTTTTCCATTTTTTATTGTAAATTCATGCACAGTTTTGACAAACCCATCCATTGCGTGGGGCTCTTTTCATATTTACACAGCTGTAATGATATCTTCCTTTTTCACATGACTGATTTTTGCATGTTATCATATTACCAAATTCTGGTCCTCTACATATACAGAAAAGTTTTCGATCATGTTTGTGTCCTGTGTCTAGTTTTCTTGATACTACTTCTGGCAATATAGCATGTAGAAATTTATTAAATAGAGTGTTTTTGAGTTCTTCCATAAAGTTTTTGTTTTTCATAGTTAAACACAGCATGGCCTCATCCACCCCTGCAGAGAAAACATAAAAATATCCAAATTCAACACCAGCTAGCTCCATCTGTAATTGAATTTGATAGTAGTAGCGATGATTTTCCCTCATTTTGTACTCAGGATCAATAGGAAACTTATTATCTTCAGCCCATCCTTCAAAGCTGTCCTTATAATTGTAAGGGCATTTTATTTCCAGCACTCCCCTTCCATGACAATCACAGCTCACAATTCCATCAGGAGAAGCACCTAAATATGGTATTTCAGCATTAATCAACAGTCCAGCTTGCTCAACTTTGAAATTTGTATGCTTCATACCTTCCTCTTTTTTCAAATTTTTCTCGTGCAACAGGTTCCATCTGCTTTCCATGGGCTGTGTATTTTGAGGAGAAGCCTGGCCTGTATTGCATAATCGTTTCAATAAGGGATTGACTGTCCCTCATTCTGGCAACATTCTTCACTGTTGAGCCTGTTATTCTTCCAGCTCTATGCAACATCCATTCTTTATTTGCACTCTGATCTTTGGTTTTCCAAAAAAGATTGTCAAAGATTGTGAAAGGACTTCTGAAAGTTCCTTTCACGATATTCAGTATACAACTTCCTTCCATGCACTTGTAGGTCCTCATCTGTCATATTAATAGCTGTAGGGTCAAAAAGACTTGTTAGTGGTTCCGGTAATGTGTAAGCACTGTTTTCTATATCGGTGTCTGTTTCACTACCAGAACCAGATATCATTTGTGCATCTTTTTCAAAAGACTGAGCCTCATTGTCCAGAATGTCATACAATGGCAAACTAGTAAACACAGCTGCTTTCGGGTATATTTTATGAAGTTTTTTTAGCATATGCACAGAAATAGCATCTTCTCCAACTGTTGGGTCCAAACAGCTATAGCTCTTGTATTCTGTAATATTTGTCTGAGGCTTTGGCAATGTCTTCTTTCTTGGTTGGCTAAAGTCAATAGAATTGAGAGGAGCAGGTATGACATGTTTCTTTGAAGATTTCCACGCACATAACAGGCTTGTTGACGCTGTTGGCTGGTTCAAACAGAAATGGGCTGCAGCTTCAAGTTTAAACAAAAGAGCAGCTATATGACTGCAAGCTGATCCTAGCCCAGGCATACATGTGCAATTTGCTGTTAAGATCCAGCCATGCAACTTGTTTAGACAAACCCAGACATTGTACATTGATGTCTTTTTGCCTTGTCTCTGGCTAGGTAATACCTAAAATAAAAGCCATTCCATAATGGGTGATGTGCACCAAACAGTTTCAAGATATCAAAGAACAAATGTATCTTTAAACAGGAGTTTAAGACTAGTATTAATAGCAAACTTGAAAATGCAGATTTGTGTATTTCTTTACAGAAGATGTTTACAAAGTTTGGTTTTTGTGTGTTTTATAATTAAGTGGTTTATAATCATTTATTGCAATCCTTTATAGATTCGCTGCACATAGACCTACCAATAGTTTTAATTTCCTAATCATTAATTATCATAGTAAACAAGCTGAGAAAATTGAAATAAGAACATACCTCAGATTTAATGAAACAGAACTCTGAAGCATCTGATATTTTGTGGTAAAAACAGTCATGTACATGTTTGCACACAAAGTAGTCATAGGCTTCAAGTGATTTGTAGGCTTTCATGGACTCTTTGCTGAAGTTGCTGGGTGTATCAATTAGGTACTCAGTAACATCTCTCCAAGAGAGCTCCGGTAGGTTAGCGATATCATTGCTCCATTCACTTTGAAGTGTGTATGGATCTGGAATTGCTTTGCCGCTGCTGAGAGTTAGTTTCGCTCTGTAATTAGCCTTCTCAGTTGCATCTAAACTTTCGTAATAATTCGAAGTCATTTTCATTCGATATCGAATTTCTTCTTAAACTTCAAAGATGCTGTATCAATTTATAGGATTGAGACCGCATGGTACCTAGTGGAAACAGCCGGCAAACACTGCGTGGATAGGGAAAACAGCTGTCCTATACAACGCGGACGCCATGCTTCAATTTTTTGCAGCACAGGTTGCGCACGCATTTTGTTTACATCTTTGTTCTATGTCACGGTGCAAGGGGTCTATACTCTCCAACGACCCTTCAGCTTACCAAAAGCCCCCTCTGTCACAATACGAGCTCTGCTGAGACGGTAATTAAAATATTTCTGCTGAGGTGTGAGAACAGCCTGAGAATAAGGTTTCATTAACCAAATATGGAAAGGAAATGCACCATCTCCAAGAAGAATAGGAGGGATGTATACATCCCCTTCTCTGTGTGCCACATTTTGGAATTTATCTGAAAGAAGTTCTTTGTAAACATCTGTTGAATGAAAAACAAGCGAGTCATGTGAATTACCCACAGCTATCCCAAGTTATTCGGTATTTTGCATCTACAATGGCCATCAAAACAATAGAGTAAAAATTTTTGTAACTGTGGAATTCTTTTGCTGCCAAAGCACCTCCAGGTGGACAGCGTATTGAGATATGACAGCCATCAATGGCCCCATATGCACAAGGAAATTGCCACTCCTCATCCATTAATTCCATTTCCTTTCTTAACTCCTCATTGTTGGTTGGAAAAAGACTCAGCACTTCCTCTTCCCAGAAAACATTAACAATTACTTGGCATACCTCTATCACAATCAGGCAAATCATCGCTTCACCAAGGCCTGCCATCTCCGCTATTGTATAATAGTAGTCCATTCCTTCCATTCCTTTTTCAATCTGTAATCCATTCCTTTTTCAAAACATTATAAATTCTGTCAAGAATGAATAAGAATGTATTCTTGGTGACGCGAAATGTCTTTTTAAACCGGTCCTCTGAGTATGTTTCCCATACTAGTTTCCACCATCCTTCATTTCTCTGAAAACGTCGAGCAGATCGTGGTCGCGGTATATTTTCAATTTCTCTGTTCCATTCAAAAAGTATAGAACCGCCAGCAATAATTTGTATAGTTTCATTAAATAAATGCGTCTCTGAATCAAATTCGTTAGCACAGCAAACTGGGTCGCGTGCCATCTTCGTCTGTTCTCGAGAATCTTGGTGCAAAGCAATATTTTACGTCTTCTATCCATGGGAGCCATTTTGTTTTACTGAAAGGGGTGGAATATACACCGTGGTACTTCATGTATACCGCACTGAATGCTAATGAAGTGCGGCGCAAATGCGACGCATAAATTGGAGTCGCTCTTGTGTCGATGTTGTGTTAGATTTAAGATAATTGGATTTACCTTGATTGAAATGCGACCTCTCAACTCGGCCTTAGCTGGTTTGACTGATCTTGACTTGAACAGGACATTTATTTTCAAAAGTTGCGACAAAGCTAACTCAATGGACCTTGAAGAAAACCTTGATGACCAAATCCCACAAATTCAAGCTTCTGCAATTGCAAATGCCACTGAAATAAAAAAGAAAGTGTTGCGACAGATGCGTTGACCATGCTTTTTCCAGTGGATGGTGTTGGTGAGGCTTACAAGCTAAGCCAACAGCAGAGAGTATTTGTATCTGTGCAAAAACTCAAAGTTCTGAAAGGTAGCAAATGCCTTCATGTTCTGGATAATGGATCTGTCTGCCATGGAGTTTTAGATTATCCATTGAAATCGAAAGGAAGCATTGTACAATTAAGATGGTGCTGTCCTTACAAACACAGTGGCTTATGGGTATCTTCAGAAGTCATTGGAACATCCCACAATCAAGATATTTATTTAAATGACTTGCTGATTGGGGCTTGTGGGCACGATTCTGTCTCTATGTTGCCATGGATCTTTTAACAAATTTAATTATAGACATGGAGGTTCTTGATAAACGAGAGACTGGTGGGGCCTCTACAAATATGGAAAGAGAAGGCTCAACTCACATTTTGCTGCGCTTGATGAAGCAAATTGACATTGAAGAGATTGCTACAGATGCTTCCAGTTCTTTGATGAGGAGAATTTCAGACCTCAAAGGTATAATCTCAAACACACTAATATTCTCAAAATGTCATAGCAAAGATTTCCACCTCATCAGTTTACATTTTACCCAAAGCTTTATAAAAATTTATTTTGACAGTTAACAATTCATGCTAGTGTAAACTTGAAAATTGATGAAAATTGTTTTTAAGGTATCAGATATTACAGTGCTGAAATTGCCTTAATGATTTGTTTAATTTTTGCCTTTATTCTTGATAAAGGTATTTAAGTGTACATATATCACTATTTTTCAGCAATTAATCTGGAGCTTAAGAACATGGCCCATGCATTGGATGTTTGGCACATGTCCAAGAGGCTGACAAAAAAGCTACATAGTCTTGTAGATGGAAACAACAAGGAAGGAAAGGAGCTAAAACCCTGGATTGAAGGTATAATCAACCATTTCTGGCATTAAAGAATGAAGAATGGAATGAAGGGGGATGAAGAAAAGTTAAAAGATTCATGGCTTGGTATTCTCCATCATGTTTGTGATGAACATGAATGGGCAGATTCATAGTGTAATCATGGACCCCTTCAGTCTGCTGAGCCTAAACAGTATTTAAAGAAAGATTCAGCGGTGATGGAGAAATTGAGATCAGTGGTTCTTGATGCAAAAATCTTAAATAAACTCAAATATTACACTAAATTTCGGCATACAGGATTTATTGAGAATTTTAATAGTATGCTTAAAAGTTGAGCCTGTCAAAGAACAGAAGAATATTCATATGTTTCATATTGCCTGGCTAAGATTGTTGTTGATCTTCAAAATCACACTGGCACTGTACATGTGAGACTTGCAAGAGTTTCTGGAGATCAAAAGCTAATTTCAAGGAACCTGGACCTAGTTGTAAAGCCTCCTCCAACCAGCAACCTTATCCAAGAGAGGAAATCACGCACAGAAACAAAGAAATAAAACTTTCAATTTAGCTCTAAAAGTCACTATAAAATGTAAAATTTAACATTTCAATAACAAAGTTAGTTATTTTTAAACCCCATATACTGCCCATCGGGTGATGGGTAAGCTTCTCTAATTATCTTTACCACACATGATGGTAGAATCCTTCGATTGTCTCTGCCTAGTCTGCCATACTTCCACAATGTGAACTGCCTATATGCAGCCTTCCTGAATGAATCCATAGAAAAATCCATAGGGTCTGCCCGAATATCACATCTTGCAGCAATATTAAGCTGTAGGACATCTCTGTCCAGACAGAGCTTTCGAAACATTCTGTAGGAAGTCACACAGACTTTCCTTTCACAACACTTGTTTTCATCTAGATGCCCAGTGTCAACACAAATCCCACATCTAAACCAAATTTGCAAATTTGGTCTTTAAATTGGCTCCTCTGGGCGCTGTATGGTATCTATCAGGTCCTGCACATACTCTAAGCTTCCCTCTCCACTGACAGTAAATTCAATAGTGAGCTGTTTAAGTGTTTCAAGTGTTAGGTCATTGATTATATTCTAAAAATAAAAAAGAACACATTTAGTGCAAACATTTTGTCTGTTTTCTTTGCTCTGATGAAGCCACATATGCCAGGGCAAATATTAGCTTTAACTTATTTACCTGTTGTTGTTGATTATTCTGAGTGCGTTGTGGTTTTTCTTATTTACTACCCTTAGAGCAAAACTTTGTTATCTAGCCTTTACTAATAATACTAGGTTCTTTGAAAGTCAGGTTTTTTTCTTGTTTATTTGTACTTGAATAAAAAACATCGAGCCTGAAGTTTTTCTGGAACAAAAAGTTCCTGCTCTTCAAGGACCTGCTCCTGGGTCACAAGCAGATTTTTTTTAAAATAAATATTGGTAATCTCAATGTTGGCCTATATGATGTTGTGATTTGTTTATAAAAATTTTTGTTACTATTTCATATGAAATAAAAAAAATGCTAGTTTACATTTTTGTGATATTCACCTGCACGCTCAACCTTGCAAGCTCTAATTCCTGCTCTATGGAAAAGATTTCCTCCTGAATTACAACGTCATGATTTACAACATTAAATAACTGTGCATCTCAAAAGAAGAATGTTTTTTGATACATTTGAAATATGAAAACAAGGGCAGTGGGAGCTTGGGTGAATGATTAACTTGTATGCTGATTTGAAAGGAACTTTTGAAATGCCAGGGCTATGAGAATAATTTTGTTTAGGATTCTGTTCATCTGGAAGGCTTTGCTATGAGTCACTAGCAAGGTCCCTTTCACGTTCACATCAATTCGATTGTCCATGAAAAATGCGTAAGTACAGAGAAAAGGTAGGCTTAGTCCAAATTTCATTTGGACTTTTGGGAGCTGGGATAAGTTTCCTTATATTGTAGTTTAGGGGAAATCGAAGATTAAAAATAGTATGGCTTTTTACTACTGGACAACTTACCCAAGTTGGCTTTTTACAACTTTTTACAATTTGACCATGATGAACCACCTTTAATCATGTTTCAAACACGGCATTACAAAGTCTGTAGCAGGACTGTAAGCATAAATTGGGTTTGACTAAAATGTTAGAAATTTTACAATCTTAATGTTACTAACTAATATACTTTCTATGAGGCAGTCTAATTTGGACAAAAAGAAGAAGAGTTAATTCACCTTTCCGTTTGAGCACCACTTCACAACTGTGCCTCGACACTTTTTGCCACACATGCACTGTTCACTACATTTTAAATTTTCGTCTTTGCAAGGACAGCCTGGCCTTTTTCCTGAGCGTTTTGAGCATGTGCCCTTGCAAAAACAAATAGGCCCCTGAAATCATAAAGAAATAAATGCTCGTTCATACAACAAATTTAGAATGCCAGATAAAGTATGAATGCTCAATAGCAGTTTTCAGTAACAATATCACGAATATCAAGTAACAATAAAGGCAGGTAACAAAGATCAAACTTTCAAACCTCCAAATCGTGCTGCTCGCTTCTTACACTTTCAAGTGTGAAGTCATCAGTGATGTCTATGACTTCGGTTTCCTCGTGAAGAGGGGAACCATAAAAGTTTGCGGCCATGTTATTACCATGTTTCACTATCATTACACAGTTTTGTGCTGTGTTTACATTTTGATGTGTTGAGCGCTCACAAAGGTTCATGGGGAGCACAGGGTCTTTAATATCCTTTCCATGAAAGAGTAAAAAAATCCACGAATGGGGACTGGGTACTAGTACCCCTTTCTAAAAATAGAACAGGGAGCATGTTTGAGAATTTTTCAATTTTGATCGTGCAGACACATGAAATTATCTGTAACTACCAATTTCCTGTTGCTGTGTGTTTCTGGACGATAGATAAACGTTGAATCTTCTTAAGAGGACTGGGCATGAGAACCCCCATCTAAAAAAGGGGATGGAGGCAATTTTCAGGATGAGTCCAACTCTCATCTTTTTCAGCGTGACAAAGTGTCTATGTCTGCCAAATTTCATGCTTTTATCACAATTTGCACGGTGCATTGTATCACCTGCTGCACTATATAATTTTGATAGAGTTGCCATATCTACCAGATTCTTCGATCAATGACCTCATAACCCAGTGGCCAACCACCTTCATCGGCATGGTACCTTCGTGTTGCGGGTATCATTGTTTGTGTAGCCTCCACTAGATGATTTGCCTTGCAAGGCTAAAGGCTATCATCCACCCCTGCCATTCGTGTTACTCCCACTAAACAGACTAAAGAGTTCCATCTATCCTGGTTTTCAAATCCGAGATTTTCCTTCTCCTTCAACAACTACTGGCAACATTCACAAGCTTGTTATACCCTGAGCAGTGGTTATTTAAGTCAGCAGATTCTCGCCTTTCGCCCCTTCTCCTGTTGGTTCTAAACAGTTCTGTAACAAGAAGGCCAGGAGTTGGACTTGGACTACCAGAGGCTATATTTTCCACATGCCATCAGGATATATTTTATAGGTTTTAGGGCGGGGGTCGGCAAACTTTATAAAACAGGGGGCCAAAGTTGATTTCTGGAATGCATACCAGGGCTGCAACTCAAAATACAGTATAATTTTAATATATACCAATTCTACCTAACTGCTAATCTAATCAATAAAATTGTATTTATCGGTAATATTTCTGTAACGTGGAAGCTGTACGTAGATACAAACATAGATGTGAAGTACATGTTCACTGGTCAGTATATTACAAGAAGCTAATGTGCAAGTTGGTGCTGCATGTCCTTGTGGAACTTCTCAATATTTGGCAGAATTGTTGCTGATCAAGGTGCTGATCAATCATTCGAGATCGCATTCGAGATTGCAGTCAACTCTTCGCATACTTCATATTTGAGAAGAGACTTTCGCAAAGGTAAGTACTTCCAAACATGCAACACATCTTCCTGGCATGCTGCACTGAACCTGGATATGAATCATCATCCACCATGGAGATACTCCATATAAAACGGGATTATATGAGTTTCCTTTTATTTCTGTTTCAATTCACTGGTACCCTGCAGCTCGATCAACTCCATTTGAAGATGAAAAGTGAACTAAGTTCCTTTGATTCAGCTGAGTTTTCCAAAATGTAGCATAAGAAGGAACATGACAACATACTCATACACGATATTCACAAATTGACCATGGCCTTGAAGCTTCTTGCTCAGCTTGTTCGAGTGACTAGTAATGACAATGGGAATGCTAATCTGAATCTGAGCTGACACTTGTGCATTGGGCCAAATTATTTACAGGTTAACAGGGGCCTTCCGGGCCACACAAAAGTACTGCATGTCGCCTGCGGGCCGCAGGTTGCCAAACCCTGTTTTAGGGGCTCGTCTCCTGCAATCATCCTGGCATTAGTAGTCCTTTAGAACCTTATTATTATTATTATTATTATTATTATTCAACTCTTCTCATGGTGTTGATGGTATACCAGTGTTTTGTCTATGATCAGGCAACCTTCGTGGCTTAAGATAATAGATCTTTAGATCCATGCAAACCAGTCTTTCTTTTCCAGCTCTCTATTTCGTCCTATTTGCTGTAATCCAAAACTTTTCTCATTATTCTAGCAGTGCCCAACAAACAAGCTTTTTGCAGAGGATCTAAACCACATTTAAAGTCGATCTTTTCAAGATACTTTGCAACATTATTCGTGACTATTCCTAGCGCACCAATGACAATTGGTATTATGTATACTTTTGTTATTTCTCTGTTCCAAACCTTCAAAAGTTCATACTTCAGATCTGTAAAGTGCTCAAATATTTCCTTCTCCTTCTTTTCAACTCTTGTGTCAAAAGGACATGCCACATCAATAATATAGCATGTTCTTCCTTTCATATCCAGTAGGACTAGATCAGGCTTGTTATGGTCAATTCTTATTTCTGTTTGAATGGAAAAGTCCCATAATAGTTTGACCTCTTTGTTTTCTAAGACCGCCATTTCTTTATCTACGAAATGTTCGTAGCTCTTTGCAGTGGTGAGAAATCCATATTTTTGGCACATCTGCCAGTGAAGGATAGTATATTTTTGGCACATCTCGTGTTCTGCGTAGTTTCTCTTTAATATTTTTGGGATTCTCATTTTCAGACATAATATCTTCATTCACCACCTCTTGTAGTAACATCTCTTCGCTTTCATTAATATAGAATCCCAGACTCGTCTTCTCAAGCATCACACATTCTTCAACACTTATTAGTCCTCATCCGCCTTTCTTGCGTTTCAAATAGGTCCTGTCTACATCTCCTTGAGGGTGCATGCTTCTATATATTGTTAGCAATTTACGGGTTTTTCTATCCATGTGTTGTAATTCTGCTTTTCGCCAGTCTACTAATCCAGCTCCATATCTAATTATAGAAACTGCCCTGGAATTTATCGCTTGGATCATATTCCCTGCATTAAGACTCGACTTTAAAATCTTCCTAATACGTCTAAAATACTTTGACAATATTTCTTTCATTTCCGTATTCTTTGTTATATCGCATTGGATTATACCTAAATATTTGTACTCATCATTGCTCTCTAATGTCTTAATTGTCTCTCCCGAAGGTAAGTCTATTCCATTACTGTCCACAACTCTACCACGTTTCATTTCTAACATTGCACATTTGGAGATTCCAAACTCCATACCAATGTCCTTTTTGTATATCTGGGTTGTTTCAACTAGTGAGTCCAATTCATTCAAACTCTTTCCATATAGTTTTAAATCGTCCATAAACAGGAGATGATTTAGTTTTCCCCTGTTTCAGCCTAACGTATATCGAGCCTTCATTTTTTTCAGGACCATGGATAATGGAATCATAGCCCATACAAAAAGAAGAGGCGAGAGACTATCTCCTTGGAAGATTCCTCTCTTTATCTTGACCTCATCGAGCATTTCTCCTTCCGATGTCAATTCGACAGTCCAAGATCTCATCAACTTTCTTATCAAGTTGTGAATGTTATCTGCTACATTAAACATGGTCAAGCATGCAAGTATCCAGGAGTGGGGAACCATATCATAAGCCTTTCTATAGTCAATCCAAGCAACACACAAGTTTGTTAATCTTCTTCTGCAATTCTTCATGACCATTTTATCAATCATTAGTTGGTCTTTGGTTCCTCTGCTTTGTTTCCTGCATCCCTTTTGTTCTTCTGGCAATAACTTTTCATTTTCGAGATGGTGATATAATGATTCACTAACAATGCCCGCCAATATCTTCCACATAAGTGGTAGACATGTTATGGGTCTAAAATTGGTAACGTCACTTCCTTTCTTCACGTCTTTGAGAATTAGGCATGTCCTTCCTCTGGTCATCCATGTCGGCATTTCGCCTGTGCTTATACACTCATTAAGCTGTGCTGCTATTAACTGGTGTAACTTAGTAAAACCTTTAAGCCAATAACCATGTACTTTGTCAGGCCCGCAAGCTTTCCATTTTGGAACCCTTCGAAGTTGTAGCTGCAGACTGTGCAACGTAACTTTTACATCACTCTGCTTTGCTACATTCTCTACCTGTTTTTCGACCTCCTTTATCCAACTCGCATCACTGTTATGCACTACATCTTTCGACCAAATGTCACTCCAGAATGCCTTACTCTGATCCGCGTCAGGTTTTATGTCATTTTCCCTTTCAACTCCTTCTATCTTTTTAAATAGCAGCCTTTGGTTGGTTTGGAACAGTGTATTTTGTATGTATTCGTTGTTTTGTTCTTCATATTTCTTAATCTTGGCATTTTTTGCCTTTATTCTCTGCTTAAGCTCCTCTATAACTGTTGTAACTCCTTTATTCCAAACATGGTATTTTCTCTCAAGATGATCTTTCAAACCTTCTGATTTCAGTTTCCCCTCTTTAATATTATTATTATTATTATTATTATCAAATTTCAGGCCAATCACTTTAGAATCTGTGCCCTTAAAAATATTCACTTCTTGCTTACGTGACTCCCTCTTCACTTTTTTGAAACACAATGGCTTCATCGAGCACCAAATCCAAAAAGGCTTCACCTCAAAAGTATCAGGTACATTAGAGCACACAGCAATGATGAGCCATTTAATAAATAAAGCTCGCATTAAGCAACGATCTTTAGTGGTATCTTTGCTGGATCTCCAAAACGCCTTTGGCGAAGTTCACCACAAGCTGATACCAGCTATTCTTGCTTATCATCATATACCTTCGGAAATTCAATCATTGATCTCAAGCTTATATCTAGATTTTAAGACCTGTATCATAACTGATAAATTCCAAACCCCTGCAATTCCCGTTCGCTGCGGTGTATTGCAAGGTGACTGCCTCAGCCCCCTTCTTTTCAACCTTTGCTTCAACACGTTCATACAATACATCAAATCAGATCAATATAAGCAGCTTGGTTTCTCCCCCCATGATGGTAATGACCGCATGTTTCAGCCAGTACACTGGTTTCAGTTTGCTGATGATACTGCTGTTGTTACCAGTGGAGAAAAGGAGAACCAACTCTTATTAAACTGCTTTACCAGATGGTGCCAATGGGCAAACTTTATTGTCAGGGTTGACAAATGTGTTACCTTTGGTGTCAAGAAACACTCTACGCGATCCCTCCAATTTCAACCGAAACTTTTCATTTGTAACCAAATAGTGCCTGCTGTCAAAAATGGCGATTCCTTTAAGTATCTTGGTCGTTTCTTTGATTTTGAAATGAGTAACCAAGATCATAAATCTAATCTCGTTTTTTTTTCTCTACTCTTATGAAGGATATTGACGACTTACCTCTCCATCCTAAAAACAAACTGCTATTATACCATCGTTATATTCTGTCAAAAGTTTCATGGCATTTCACTGTTGCAGATCTACCAAAGACCTGGGTTGTCCAAAACCTAGACAATCTTGTTTCCAATTACATTCGCCAGTGGCTTGATCTTCCTGTTTCTGCAACATTGAGTGGAATAATCCTCTCAAAAAATCAGTTTGGCCTAAATCTACAACTGCCTTCTATCAAATTTACGCAATGCCAAACTGTCTGTCGCAATGCCCTAAAATCTTCTCCTAATATTGACATTCAAACCCTATGGAAAAACACCAGTCATGGCACGAACCTACAGTATGACATCTATCGTAATACTAAAGAGGTATTAAAGGCTGTCAAATCAGACAACAAAGAACGTCTCTCCCAAAACTTACCATCTCAGGGAGCTACAATTACCTTCCTACTGAAACATTCACTGGAAAAGCTGAACGGTATTTGGTCAAGTACACAGAGCAATTTGCCTAGTAACATCTTTAACTTTACCATCAAGTATATTAACAACACTCTTCCAACTCGTAAAAATCTGCTGAAATGGAACCTTAGTCAAACATCTGATTGTGAATTCTGTCTTCTTCCAGAAACGCTTCTACACGTTGTTGCTGGATGCAAAGTGTACCTTGACCAAGGCCGCTATACTTGGCGTCATAACTCTGCATTAGACTTTCTAGCCACTTCCTTCCAAGCAATAAATGGGTCTTCTCTCTACGCAGATTTACCAGGCTTTCTTTCCCCTTCTATCATAACTGGAGATCAACTACGCCTTGACTTTTTTTCAAAACTTAGGAAAACTGTCTGTACGTTTTAGAGCTAACCATAGGCTTTGAAACAAATCTCAACTGCAATGCTGTCAGAAAGTCAGAGAAATATGCCACCCTCGTATCTGACTTAAAACGTCAGTTTAAGTTAGTCTCGTTTGTCAATCTTTCCATCAGTTCACTTGGTATTTTTGGCGACTCCTGCAGCTCATTCATCGACATGTGTGACTCTTTGTCCATTGTTCATCAACAGAAACGCTACATCATCTCCAAACTTACAAGCATCTCCATTCGCACCACATACTATATATTCTGCTGTAGAAACAAAACTTGGACTAATCCAGAGCTACTCCCCTTTTAACATTTTTTTTTCTTTTCTCATTACTATGATGTAATAGTTTTTATTTTGTAAACACAGGCTAGCCAGTTACAAATTACCTTGTAATAGTGAGATTTGTAATTGTAGTTTTAACAGGAATTCAAAATGAAAAGTTTCCATTATTATTCAAGCTTTGTTAGACAATGGCTCGAGCTGCCAATAAGTGCTTCACTAAGTAGCCTCGTCATTCCAAAATCGAAGTTTGGCATCAATCTCATTGTCGCGGAAAGCAGGGAGTTTGCCGCGCAAACGCCTTTCCCACGGTTTACTTGCGTAATTAACCAGCGTGTTATTAATCAAGGTCGTGTTTTCAGTAGTCTTACTATTTCTTTTGTCTCATAATAGATCTACATAGGTTTAATCGTTAACACATTTATTGTTGGTAATATCTTTTGTATTTGCCGCTTGGTTAATTGACATGGAACATCTACACATATCTTTTGTAATTATATTTTCTAAAGGGACCAATAACTAAAAACTAATGGCTTATGGTTGAATGAGGTCAGAGTGTGTGTTGGAAATGAGTGTGTAATGTATACCACATATTCTTACTAATAAAATGATAAAATACAAAATGTTGTATTGATTGTTGATTGCCTTACTGCAACACACTTTGTTGATTTGTTCGGACTGTTACGATACAGTGGAGGCACCGCCCGGATAGTGTGTTGGAGTAAGTTTTGTTTGTGGAAAATATGTCGGTGATAGATAGGAGAAAGAACGTTCGATTGGCGCATAGAGAATTTGCATTGCAAATCATAGAGGACGGTAATGGAAACGACGTGAGTGAAACAGATTTAAGAATGATTCAGTCACAGCTGAAGGAAAAGCAGAAGAAGCTTGATAAATTGGACGACGAGATATTGGGGTTAATAAGTGAGGAAGGAGAAGCCGATGATTGTGTAAAGGAAGGCAAAGAAGCGGGACAGTTTAGATCAAAAGTTCAGGCTGCTATAATACAAATCCAAGGTCGATTGGATGATAAGTTACAACGCAGTGGTTCCATTGACAGTCTAAGTTCTACAGCCACTTTCAATACTAGAAAGGTACGGGCAAGGTTACCTAAATTGGAGATGCGAAAATTCAGCGGTAAACCGTATGATTGGCAGGAGTTTTGGGACGCATTTCCCTCGTCAGTTCACGAAAATGAGGAACTATGTCAAGTGGACAAATTTACCTATTTACGCTATCTGTTAGACGAGCCTGTGAAAAAGGTTATTGCTGGGTTTTCCTTAACTGAAGCTAATTATGAAGCTGCAGTAGATTTATTGAAACAAAGGTTCGCAAAGCCAGTAGTGATAAAAAGATCGCATATCAATGAGCTAATGAATTTGCAACCTGTTTATAAAGAGCGCGATTTGGATCGTCTTAGACATTTCTACGATATGGCTGAGACACATTTTCGAGGGCTGCACTCTATGATGGTAGATGAGACCACGTATTCTTGTGTTGTCGTTCCATTGCTGCTCGACAAATTGCCAGAAGCGGTTCGATTGAGTATGTTGCGAGCGGTGAAGGGCTCTGAAGATTTACCCATTTCGTCTTTTTTGGAAGTGTTGAGAAACGAGCTTGAAGTACGAGAGTCGCACGTTTCAATCTTGAAGCTAAACCTTGCTGGTTCGTCTGGAATGCAGTCAATGATTGCTAGTGGAAAAGGCAAAGATTGGGTGAGAACATCGAGTGCCTTGCACAGCGTTGCAAAGGACCATCGATGCGCCTTTTGTTTAAAATTTCATGAAGAAATTGATTGTCAGAATGTAAAGGACTTTAGTGAACGTAAAAATATTGTGAAAAAGTATGGTCGTTGCTTTCTTTGTTTAGCAAAGGGTCATTTATCCTTCAAATGTAGAAACAATATTTCATGCAATATTTGTAAGGGTAGACACCATAGTGCCTTATGTGAACAAGGTAATGCTAATTCTACTGCGTGTAAGGATGTCGGAAAGGCAAACACGAATACTTGCGTAGAGAGTGTTGAATGTGGGGGGAGGGTAGCTCTCCAAACCGCGCAAGGTTATGTTAATGGAACGAGGAAAGTGAAAGTGCGAGTACTTTTTGATGGGGGAAGTCACAGGTCCTTTGTTACCTCCAATGTTGTGAACAAAGCAGGCATTTTTCCTTCTCGTAAGGAGAATTTGCGTATATGTAGATTTGGTGAGACTAATGTAGATGTTTCTGCAAAGGATATTGTTCAAATCACTTTGTCGTCTGTAGATAAGAAGTAAAACATCCCATTTGAAGCTTGTGTTGTAGATTCCATCTCACAGCTGGAAAACCAACATTTAGAGATCGTAAAGAAGGATTTTGCTCATCTGAAGGACATTTGGTTTTCAGACGTTGATTCCAAAGAAGAGCAACTAAGCATACAAATTCTGATCGGTGCAGATTACATGTGGCGGTTTATGGAGGACGAAACGAGAAAAGGAGGTGTGAACGAGCCGGTCGCCGTACGAACAAGGTTGGGTTGGGTTCTTTCAGGACCAGTTAAAGGTGAGATGGTTGATGTTACTTCTGTCAGCAATGTTAATATCAATTTTGTATCGGATAAGGAAACTAATGTGTTTAATGATAAGGCCAGTTTACAGGATCAGATCCACAAACTATGGGATTTAGATTCTGTTGGAGTACGGCCTACAACGGATGTTCATGAAGATATTGTGGATAATATCGAATTTACAGGCGAGCGTTACTCGACTAAATTGCCATGGAAGGAAGCCCATAAACCCCTTCCAACTAATTACGGTGTCAGTGTAGCGAGATTAAAGGGGCAATTATCTAAACTCAAGAAAAGCCCTGAAGTATTGCAAGAGTATGACAATATTATTAAGGACCAGCTTGAGAGGGGGATTATAGAGAAGGTTGTAGGTTTAGATAATTCTAGCAATGTTCATTATTTACCACATCATGCTGTTATAAGGGAGGAGGCAGAGACCACCAAATTGCGTATTGTTTACGATGCATCGTGTAGAGAAAAACACAATGGTACTTCTTTAAATGATTGTTTACACGTAGGCCCGTCCTTGAATCCGTTGCTTTTTGATCTTCTTGTCTCTTGGAGACATC